AAAAAAATTAAAGTAAAACCTCAGGAAAAATCCTTAATGAAATGGAGATGATTGATTTACTTGATAAAGGGTCCCAAATAATGATCTTAAAGTAGCTCACTGAATTCTAGGGAACAACAGATGAACACATGAGATCTTCAACAAGGAGCTAGAGAATATATCAAAATTGAAAACTAAACTACAAGCGTTTGACAGCAGACTAGATGGAGAAGAAAGGCTCTGTGAACATTAAGACAGGGTAGTGGAACTCACCCAATCAGAGCAGCAAAAATAAAAGAGAATGAAAGAGAGTAAAGATAGCTTAAGTGACTTATGGAAGAACATCAAATAAACAAACATTCACAATATAAGAGGATCCAGAAAAACAAGTGAGAGGGAAAAGGGTAGAAAAGTTATTTGAAGAAATAATGGCTAAAAAGTACCACAACCTTTTGAAGGTAACAGACATTCATCCAGGAAGCTCATCGAGTTCCAAATAAGCTAAAGCCAAAGACACATCATGACACATTATTATTAAAATGTCAAAAGTTAAAGACAAGGAGAGAATCTTAAAAGCAGCAAGAGAAAAACAACGTATGTATAAGTATCTTACCCCCATAGGAATATTAACATATTTTTCAGCAGAAACTTTGTGGGAAGGCAGGGAGTAACACGATATATTTGAAGATTGGAAAGAAAAATAATAATAAATTTCCTGCACAAAATACTCTACCCAGCAAATTGTCCATCAGAATTGAAGGATAAAGTTTTCCAGACAAGCAAAAGCTAAAAACGTTCATCACCACCAAACAAGGCTACAACAAATGTTCAAGGGACTTCTTTAAATTAAAAAATAAGTGCAATAATTTATATCATAAAATATAGTAAAGTATAAACCTAAATGATAAAGGTAAAAATATATTAAAGGTGGTGGGTTAAACACTTATAAAGCTAGTCTAAAGGTTGAAAAAGAAAAGTAGTAAAAATAACTCTAACTACTATAATTAGTTAAGCATATACAAGATAAAAATATATAAAGTCACATAAAAACATAAAACAAGAGGGGGATAAAAAAGGTAGAGCTTCAGGATGTGTTCAAACTTAGGTTGTCAACTTAAAACAGACTGTTATAAGCTGTTTTATGTAATCTTCATGGTAACCACAAAGCAAAAATGAGAAAGGAATCTAAGCTTACCACTACTGAAAATCACCAAACCACAAAGGAAATAGAATAAGAGAAGAAGAAAGTACCAGACCAATTACAAAAGATCCAGAAACAATTAACAAAATAGCATTACGTATGTGTCTATCAATAATTCTTTAAATTAACGGGCTTAATTATCCAATCCAAAGACTTAGAGTGGCTGGATTGTCTCGACCCATCTATACACTGTCAGCAAGAAACTCAGTTCAGATGTAAGAACTAAGGCTGATAGTTAAGGGATGGAAAAAGTTATTACATGTAAATGTAAACTAAAAGAAAGGTTGCTATACCTATTGGGTTGTTGGAAAAGTCATGACGTATTTTTTTCTATATTTTTCATTGCGAAAGTACATCATGACTTTTCCGACAACCCAATATATCAGACAAAATGAGACTTTAAAACAAAATTCATAATAAGAGACAAGAAGGCTATTACATAATGATAAAAGGGTCAATCCAAGCTAGGATGTAACATCTGTTAATATTTATGCACCCAACATAGGAGCAATTAAGTGTGTAAAACAAATATTAACAAACCTAAATAAACAAATAGACAGCAATAGAATAATAGTAGAAAACTTGAGTAACCAACTTTCACCAATAGATAGATTATCCAGGCATAAAATCAATAAGGAAACACTGAGCTTAAATGACATGAGGACGCGATGGTCTTAGATATACACAAAATACCCCATTCAAAAGTAGCACAATACATGTTCTCAAGTTCAACAAACAGTCTCTAGGATACACAATAGACTACAAAACAACTCTTAAAATTAAGAAGACAAAAATATGAATTACCTCTTCTGATAAGAATGGTATTAAACTAAAAGCCAATTACAAGAAGAAAACTGGAAAATTCACAAACATGTGGAGAAAAACAACATGCTACTGAAAACCATTGGATCAAAAAAGAAATCAAATGAGAAATAAATACCTTGACACAATTGAAAATGGAAATAAAATGTACCAAAACCTTTTAGCTAAAGCAGTTCTGAGAGGGAAGTTCGTAGTGAAAAATGGCTACATAAAGAAACAAGAAAAATCTCCAATGACCTNAATAGCAAGGCTGGGCCCCTTTTGTAAAGTTATTACATATCAAGCTAAGGACTTCGGAGTTGATCCTGCTGACATAGATTTTTAAGTGGAGGAGTTATATAATTAGATTAGTGTTTCAGAAAAAAAAACAGGTATGGTGGTAATGGAGCAGAACTGCAAAAGTAATGGAAGTCAGGGAGTTATTGCAACAGTTCAGGATAGAGAAAAAAGAGGAATTTGGAACATTTAAAAATGAGAAAGAAATGAGTCAAAGATGGTTAAACTTTAACTAATAATTAGTATTATTGATAATAGCAACTAACAAATAGTGAGCACCTACAATTTGAGACTACATTAGATCTCATTAATCTTCAGAGAAACTCTGTGAGACAGGTATTATAATCATAGTTTTAATTAGTCATGTGCTGCATAGTAACATTTTGGTCAATGATGGACCACATCAGTGGTAGTCCCATAGGATTATGATGAAGCTGAAAAATTCCTATCGCCTAGTGATGTAGCCATCATAATGTTGAAGTGCAATGCATTATACATGTGTTTGTGATGATGCTGGTATACAGTGTTCATAAAGTCTACAGTAATATCCATACTGTCCTAGGTCTTCACATTCACTTACTGACTCAACCAGACCAACTTCTAGTCCTGTATGCTCCATTCATGGTAAGTGCCCTGTACGGGTGTACCATTTTTTACCTTTTATACCATATTTTCCCTGTACCCTTTCTATATTTGTATACGTTTAGATACACAAACACTTACCATGGTGGTACAATTGCCTACAGTACTCAGGATGGTAAAGTGCTACACAAGTTCGTAGCCTAGGTGTGCAGTAGGCTATATGATCTAGGCTTGTGTAAGTGCGCTCTATGATGTTCACACAACGATGAAATCACCTAACAATGCATTTCTCAGAACGTATCCCTGTCATTAAGGGATGCATGACTATATAAGATATAAAAATCAGTGGGTGATAATACCACAAATTGAGAAAGAATGTTTGAAGTTTCCAGTGGGACATACAGTGAGCCTTAACCAGTAAACTATTGGAAAAAGGGGAAATGGAGCTATAGAGACATCACATTGTTGATGTGAGATTTGTAATCATGGAATATATGAGACCGACCAGGGTAAATACTGAACAAGAAACACTATAATATGATAAGGAGTATTCAAAAAAGAACTACAAACTGTCAAAGATGTTTGGAGGAAAAGAATACCACATAGTGATTTTTGTTGTTAATATAATTGACCTATCCAACTGTGTTCTCTTTATTATGCCAGCTTGCCTACAGTTGTAAAAAACACACAGTTTACAACTTTGAAAATATAGGTCCTGGTTCAACATAGCAATGCAGGAAGATCCTGAACATATCAAATCTACACCCTCACATGGAACAATTTCCTCTGAAAACAACAGCAACAATAAAAACCCTAAAAACTAGCTCAGTGACTCCTACACATCAGGCAAAAGAGGAAAAACATTGAAGCAGATAGAAGAAGCGGAGATATAATTGCACCATGTAATTCGCAATCATGAGGGAATTCAAACCCTAGAGCTTCTCCCTGATGAGCAAAGGGCTTGAACCTCACATCGGGCAACCCAACTTTTAAGACCTACACCTGAGAGACAAGCCCCCAAAACATGTAGTTTTGAAAAGCAATGAGGCTTGCATCCACAAGACAAACAAGGCTACAATGAACTGAGAAACAGCTCTTAGAGGGCTCACATGCTCAAAGCCACCCGCCCAAGGGTCCAGCATAGAAGCAGCCTCTTGAGAGGTGCCCAGGCTGTATGTGTAATAGGCTAACTTGCTTATCTTAAAGCACTGGCCTGAAGGACAGGTATCTAATTTAATATACATTTAGGGGCCTTTTCGGGTACTCTCCAGGGATGGAGAGTATCTGGCATCATCTTCATGCTCTATACCTCGCTCACGCTGGCAGATGCCACGTTGGTGCTCCCCCTCTGCCATGCTCCAGAGCACCAGTATCTCCTGTAGGGGAAAGTATACATGCATCAGACCCCCATGTTTTTGCAGCTGCTGCCCAGGGGATGCCTGGCTCTGCTGGCTAGAGTGACTTGTGTTCTTGAGTCCCACATGACTGTAACATCAGGGGAACAGTGTTTGGCTACCTACCACCCCAGGGCACTGCACAGAGAATGGACTGAAACATACCCCTAGGCTTGCAGTGAAAGAGGACTGTTTTGCTCATCCAAAAGCTTTGATCTAAGGAGCAGACTTCTTGGCTCCCATCTAATGCAATGTTTCCTCTTCTACAAAGTGAGAATAATCTTTCCTCATAGTATGATGAAAGGTAATATGAATATTACTAGTAGTAGGTTCACAAAAATAGCCCCTATTATTAAAGTTTTCTCTTGGAAATGGTAGTATTTTTGGCACAACACTGTGGACAATTCCTTGATCCTCAGTGTGCATCCAACCCCCACCACCCCATTATTAGTGTTTGGGCATATCGATTTGGTGTTTGACAGCTTAGAGCACTTTCTTGTTATTGTTCCAGCTGTGCTTGATACTTGTCATGTTTACAACATAGTTCCTGGCCCACATTAACTTCATATCCAGAAATGAAGAAGACAGATTCTTTTTATTAAAAAAAACATACTGAGATATAGAAATAGCTTAGATGAAATTCTAAGCCTGTAGGAGGAACATAGTCTTTTTTTTTTTAATCCAGCTATAATTTTTAAGTAGATCCATTATACCAGAATTCAGGGGGTCATCTTAGGTCCAGCCGACTTCCTATAATGGCCCCTGAGGCACAGCTGGGGTTGTTAAAATACTGTGTGTATTTTTAGAAAAGCACTAGCGTAATTCTCTTTCTTAGATTAACTTAATAGAAAGGTTTACATTTGCAAGCATTTTATTAATAGGGTGGTCACTCACAGTGCCTGTTTGGAGAGCTCCCATTCTTATGAATATGTGATATAACCAGAGGGGGTTAGCAGTAATTAGACTTCCTAAAATACTGACTTTCCTTAGGTTAATGAAACCTTCCTGTGCCAACACCTGCATCAAGTTCCAGCCTGCCACATGTTAGTTCCTCTCTACCCAGTGTGGTCCAGAACCACGGCAACAGCACCACCTGGGAGCTTCTCTGAAATGCAGAATCTCAGGCCCAAACCAGACCTACTGATCAGAATCCACATTTTAACAAGATGTCTGCTGGCGATTTGTAGGTACAAGCACACTGCCCCAGGAGACCTTAGTTTTAAAGAGGGATGAAGAACGTAAGATTTGCTGCTATTGTCATAGGATAATCAGAATCATCAAAGCAGCTTAATTAGTAACTTGCTCAGTTTTGTAGACCAGCA